CAGGGAGCCCGATGCGGGACTCGATCCCGGGACTCCAGGATCACGACCTGAGCCGAAGGCAGTCGCTCAACCAACCGAGCCACCCAGGCGCCCCTAAGCTCTAAATTTCTTAATTAAACCTTACAATAATCTCATCATGGGGATACTATCCTTATCTCACCTTACCAATGAGATGATCAACGCTCAGAGAGGTTAAGCAACCTCTCTGGTATTGGTTGATTGACTCTTTCATTCACATATTCAACAAATGTTACTGAGGGTCTCCCACATGTCAGGCTCTGTCCTAGGGATCGGGGATGTAACCTACATCTCTTCCTCTTTGTGAGCAAGTTCCTTGCTTTCATGGAGCTGACAGTCTAATGGTGGAAAACAGACACCCACTCGCTAAATAAATGAGATAAAGTCAGAAAGTGGTAAGTAATCAAAAGGAAAGTAAGTCAGGGTAGTGGGACCAACAGTGATGGGATGACTATTTCACCCAGGGGTAAGGGGAAAGGCTCATGGGGATCACTGAGGGGATGGCAGCCAAACAAAGTCCTGATGGGTGAAAAGGAGTGAGCCACTGAAGACCTAGAGGGAAAATCTTCCAGGCAGAGGGAACAGCAAGTACAAAGGACCTGTGGCAAGAGTGTCTTCAGTATATTCCAGAAACAGTAAGGATGCCGGTGTGTTTGCAGGTAAACGTGGCAGAAAAAGAGGAGAGCAGAGACACTGCACGGGTTAGATTGTGGGAACACTGCAGGTGTGACACAGACTTGGCTTTGGCTGTGCTTTGGAGGGAAAGCAACAGAAGGGTCACAGAGCCAAGAAGTGACAGGGTCCATCCTAGGTTTTAAAAGGATCTCTTTGGCAAGGGAGAGCTAGTGGGGATCCGTTATAGGAATATTAAAGTCATACCGGTGAGAGAGGGAGAGGGCCGAGAGGAGCCTGGGCTCTGATGGGCTGCCTGAGGAGTCTGTGAGGAAAGAAGGAGTCCAGGACTAGCCCAGGGTTTCTGGAAGGTGAGGGAGGAGCAGACGGAGGGCTGAGGATCAGGAACTCACCGTACACATATTCAGCGCGAGCCGCCTACGAGCCAGGCATGTGGGGATATGAGTTAGCTGACAGCCGGCTATACGTGACTTTAGTTCACTGAAACAAAACAGGGATAGAACTTTCTGTCTCAGAGTTATCAGCAAATGGATGGCATGTTAAGTCCTGCAACGGGATGAGATCATCTCAGGAGTGAGTGCGGAGAGGTTGGGACAGAGGAGGGCAGGACTGGCCCTGGGGAGCTGCAGGGTAGGAGGATGAGGGGCGAAGGAAGGAGTGCTCAGCCAGGCAGGCGAAGACCTGAGAGATGTGCCCTGGAGGCCAGGGGGAGACAGGGCCTCAAAGTCCAGGGTAGTGCCCATCCCCGGCCAATGCTGCTGACAGGTCAGGTCAAGCCGGGCCTCACATCAACCCCTAGACTTGGCAGAGGTGGAAGGTGCTGGACCCGTCCTCCGCAAGAGCAGTTCCGGGGACTGCAGCTGCTGTGTGGATTCTCAGCTACTCCGGCTCTGGCTCCCTGAATCTCCCTGGCCCTGGCTCTCTTTAGGTCCCAATTCCCTTCCTCTCCTCAGACTCAGCTCCTGGGCTCCCTGCATCATGGAACCTTCCCTCAGCCCCTAGTCACATTTCACTGCCATGGCATTTACCTTGTTTTAGATTTATTCACTGCTGACCACGGCTAGATATCCGTGGAGTGGACGAGTCCTTGGAGGAATAAAAATACGCCAGGTGAACGTCATGCAGAATAACAAAATGCGACACGGAAGTGTGGTATAATTACTGCCACTATGAAGGCAGCTCAGGGATCTCTCAGGGAGAACAACCCCAGACGCTAATCTGCTAGCCCAGTCTCTGGGTTCCCCTGGCCTGCAGGGCTGGGGAAGGAGCCGGGCAGCGAGCCCCGCCTGCTGAAAGGAGGCTTGATCGTGGTTTTCAGGATCTGGGCTCTGGGCCCAGCTCTGCCCCTGGGCGGCGTGACCTTAGGCGAGCCCCTCCAAACTTCTGGGACATAATTTCTTCACCTTTGAAATGAACAGATTGTATCCCATCTGCTCAAAGATCCTTCTACCCATTTCAGTTCCTTCTCAGATTAGAAACTAATGTGGTCATAATAGTGGTGTGAAGAGTTAGTCGTGCCCTTTTCTCTCTACTGAAGCTATGAAATCTCAAAGACCGGTCTTCTCCTTCTTTGCCTCAAGCACAGTATACTGGTAGATGCACAGTAAATATCTTTTGATTTACTAGATCACCAGGATAAATCCTTTTTGGGCTACGAAATGTACCCTGGCCCGATCTCTCTCCACCCTGCCCCCCATATCTCTTCTCAAGTCAGTGCCTCAGTCCTTCCTTAATTCACCCTGGGGTTGCTCCTGGGTGCGGTATTCCCTAGAACTATAAAGGCTCATGACCCAGGTCCGTCACTAATTTTGTGCCTCTTGACCCTGCTGGCTTAGAGTTGAGGAAATCAAGACACAGGTTCTACAACACAAACCAGAATGCTGGTACCAGACTGTCTTAGCTAATCCAGCCCATGGAACGAGGGTGCTCACGGAAAGTAGTAGGTTGTGTCAGATTATGGAGATTCTTGAATGCCAAGCTCAGAGTCTGTGCTCAGAAATATGAATCTACCATGTCTGGAGTATCCTGGAGGGGACAGAACGTGGAGAAAGGGAGATCAGCTAGAAAACTGAAGAAGCTATGTCACGGGGGCGTGGCAGGGAGGGCCCGAACTGGGACAGAGAGAAGAGCTCAGGACCCCTGCAAGCCTGTACTTTGCTGGCCCCTTTGCTAGGGACAGTCCTTAAGACGCGGAGTCACGTCAACACCCACTCTGTTCCAGGAACTGGGTCCATGTTAAGATGGTCCCGGTGTGCTGGGACCAGCAAGTGGGGGCGTGGGCTTAGTGTGGAGATAGAAAATGCACATCTAAATGTTGTGGGGTGAGTGCCGGCCGGAGGTGTAAACAGGGTGCTAGTGGGGATGGGGGCTGCACAGAGGAAATCAACATTCGAACTGGCTGTGCCCCTCTCCAGCCTTCTGATGAGCCCTCCCGGGAGGCTGAGCTGGATGGACAACATCGTGGGTTCCCTATTCTTGGCTTCTGGCTGCGTATCAGAGGGAAGGGAGACAGGGAGGGCAGAAGGTTTATTTCCTTCGCTCCCAGGAGACGAACCTTGGGTTAGCGGTGTCTCTCAACCAAGAGTCACTGCTTCTGTCAAGGTGGTCTGTTCTACAAGACTCTCCTTCTGGGGGCGCCTGGGTGGCTCAGTTGGTTAAGCGACTGCCTTCGGCTCAGGTCATGATCCTGGAGTCCCTGGATCGAGTCCCACATCGGGCTCCCTGCTCGGCAGGGAGTCTGCTTCTCCCTCTCCCACTCCCCGTTTGTGTTCCCTCTCTCGCTGTGTCTTTCTCTGTCAAATAAATAAATAAAATCTTAAAAAAAAAAAAAAAAAAGACTCTCCTTCTGGGTTCTGGTGACTGTTCCCTCCTCCTAGGCCTGACTCACAATGGCTCTGCTATTATGCTCCCCTGTAGTTTCCCCAGACCCCAGGCAAGAATTTGTGATTAATTCCTTTATCCCAGTGTGACTGGATCTTTCTCTCTCTCTCTCATTGGGACTCTCACAGATATCCTGGGCCTTTGAAATAAGAATACACAATTCTTTGGGACTTTATCTCCTGGTAAACTGTGAGCTCTTCCCTGAGGAATCATGTCTTGTTCATCTTAGCCCTCTCTCCCCACTTCTTCTCTTAATGGGAGTTTCTGTTCATAGGGGTTGCTTATTGATTGTTTGCTAAAAGATATTCATTTCTCCTCCGTCACAGCCATGCCTTTGACCCCAGCTAGTCATGTGGCTGTGTTCTGAACGTTCCCCAGGGGAGGAGCCACAGCTCTGTTCCCCCCTTCACCTTCTGGCTGTTCTCACCTCACTGCTTCTCACTCGGGAGGACAAACACTCCCACTAAAGCCTTTTCCTGCTCAATATCCTAAAGTTTACCGTCTTTACGTCAATGCCAGATGCCTGTGACCTCAGAAGAGACCCTAAATCTCTCTCCACCCTAATTTCTAAGCTTGCAAAATCAAGATAAGAATAATACTGACTTCAGAGGACTGCTGGGAGAATAAAAACAAATGCGATGTCCTGTAAAATTTATTGCCTTTCCCATGAACTATATCGGTGACTCTAAAGGATAAGCAAGTTCTCTACCCCTCCCCCCATCCTACTTGGCCTGACTGGTTTCCATGAGGTAAGCACTTCGTTAACAGGCCGAGCAAAATACTAATAACTGACATTTCCTGAGCATTTATTCCCCGCTGGTAACTGTTCTAAGCGCTTCATAGGTCATCCCATTTAATCCCCGCAAGAGTCATGTCCAACAGAACCTATTTTGTCCCCATTCTACAGATGAGGCAAAATAACGATACAAAAAGATGAAGTCACTCGCCCAAGGGCCAGAGCCAGAACTTAAAACCTAGGGAGCTCCGCCAAAAAGCCACGCAGTTAACCCCTCTGTTTACACTGTCTCCCCTATGGACATTCTCTGTGACATATGGGAAGACACATCATGAGCACCGGCGGCGGCAATCAGTGAGACAGCATGTGGAAGTTAATCAAGTGACTAAAAGCAACGTTTGCACCTTGGTGGCAGTTCTGGCGAATGGAGCTCAGGCTTGGCTCTCCAGAATTCAGACTGAGATCAGTTGGGTGGGGTTAATGGAACTGCATTCTTCACATCTCCGTGTTCTGGTGACTGAGACTCACCTGAGCTTAGCGCATGCTCCACTTGCTGCATGCTCACCCCAGGGGAGGCAGTGGTCTCCATGTCCATCATCACACAGGTCACTTTGGCCGGCACTGTGGCTTGGGGTGTTGTCTCCGCGGGCAGCGGCTGGGCTGTGGCAGGTGAAGTGGGTGTGTGGGCAGAGCTGTGCTCTTCTGCTGGGGCCTCTGGTGGGGTCGGGGCTCCGGTGGGCTTGGTGCTGGTCTCGGCAGAGCTGTGATTGGTGCTGGCCGAGGAGGCAGAAGAAACCTCCGGGGGTGAGGTTGATAGGGGTGGGGGTGATGAGGCTGGAGCCTGAGGGGAGGGGAGGGTGGGAGACTCAGTGGGGGCCGCCGAGGGGTGCTGGGACCCTGTGGGGGGCGCGCTTGCCTCCTCGGGAGTGCTTGAGCTGTGTTCTGGGGGAGTGGCTGTTGAGTGCACCCCACCGCCAGCTGGTGAGGGGTCTGTGCTCGTGCCTCCCCGGTGAGAGGCCGGGCCGCTCGTCGTCTCCTCTTCTCTGGGCTCCGTGGAAATGTTCTTGGGGAGCAGAGGTGCTGGCGCCGAGGCTGTGGCTGGGAAGACCGAGTTGCTGGGAGTGCCACTGGTCGGGGAGGCGGGAGGGCCCTGTGGAGAGCTCGTCCAGATGGCCGTGGAAGGGACAGCGGCTGCCGGAAGAGAACCGGGCAAGGGGGCTGACGGAGGCAGGCTCTGTACCCTCAATCCTGTGGAAGAGCCGGCACAAGACGTGGTTAGTGTGTGAAAACCTCCGAGGGAAGCCTGCTCCACAGCATTTCCACAGGTCTTTCTCATTTTGCATCATGCCCTCCCAACTGTGAAGGTGACTTGTGACTATTTTCTGCCTACTCACTGCTCCCTCCTCCCTTTGTGACTATCAGTGGGAACCAGCCTGCAGGCCCAGTAAGAACCATTAGTGGGTCTGTCGACACACTTCCAGCCAGTGCATGGAATGACCTAATCTTGTCTCCTGCTTGCTTAAAACTGTGCCCTTAAAAAGTGAGACTCTCTGGGGAACTGACCTTTACCGGGAATTGTCTGGATTGCTATGGGGCCTGCACCCCAATACCTGCGGGGATGCCCAGGGTGTGTGCTGAGGGTGGGGGAGGCCATGGTTGGTGAGTGCAGAGCTGGAGGGGCTTATGGATTGGCTGTTCCCTGCCCCAGAGGTTGTGAGCTCTGCTTGTGTGTGTGCGTCTGTGTGTGTGTGTGTGTGTGTGTGTGCGCGCGCGCACGCGCGCTCTGCATTTATGCACAGGGATGCCAGGGCTATGGGCTTGCTGGTGGGATGAGTCAAGATGTGAACACATTGCCTTTGAAGGGGGAAAGGCACGAAGTCCCAGAATAAAAGCTGAGAGGAGGAATCTGAGGTTTGGAAAAATTATCTGGGACTGGAACCTAGTTCTTTCAAATTCTAGCTTGGGGTCTTTACAATCATAGCATTTTGCAAAATGTTCTCCTTCACATTTTGTAACATTTAGAATTAATTTCCTTCCTTCCTCCCTCCATTTACGCATTCCGTTTAATTAACTAATTAATTCTTTCATCCATTCAAGTACTCAATGAATGGCTTCTATGTGCTATCACTCAGCTAGTCCTGGATTTTGCTTTTGCTTTTTATGTAAACCATCTTTTGATTGAGCCCCCATGCCCCTCACCATCCCCCAACTAGCTTTTCCCCTAGTCATTTCTATTCAGTGGTTGGCACCTTCTTTCACTCAGTTGTTCAGTTAAAAACTGAGACATCACCCTTAATGCACCTCTTTCCCTCACACCCCATATCAAATCCATTGGCGAATCAGGATGAGTCTACCTTGAAAATATATCCCAACCCAACCACTTTTCCTCACCTCCCGCATCATCTCAACATCACCCGAGCCACCAGTCACTCGCAGAGACAACTGCCATAATCTCTTCATTAGTCTTCTGCCTTCCAGATTTTCTCCCTTTCTGTTACTTTTCACATAGCAGCCGGTATGATCTCTTAAAGTGGTACATCAGAGCATGTTCTTTATCTAGTCAAAACCCTCCAAAGTCATTCTGTTGCACTTAGAACAAAATTCCAAACTAATCCCCTACATTGCCCCATGCTCGCTTCATCATTCAGGCTGGTCTCGGCTCAAATGCCACCTCCTTCTCAGAGGAGCCTTCCCAGATGATCCTAACTAAAATCATTCCTACTCCAGCTCCTTGCTTATTTTTTAAAAGATTAATTTTTTAATTGTTAAAATACGTATAACATTCACCATTTTAACCATTTTTTAAAAGATTTATTTATCTGAGAGACAGAGAGAGAGGGAGTACAGGGTGGGGGGGATGGGGCAGAGGGAGAGGGGGAGAGAGTCTCAAGCAGACTCCACGCTGAGAGTGGAGCCTGATGCTGGGCTTGATCTCACAACCCTAAAATCATGACCTGAGCAGAAACCAAGAGTCGGGCGCTTAACTGACTGTGCCATCTAGGCCCCCCATTTTAACCATTTTTAAGTGTACAGCTCAGTGGTATTAAGTTCAACCATCACCACTAACCCATCTTCAGAACTTTCTCGTCTTCCCAAACTGAAACTCTGTACCATTAAATAACAGTAACTCTCCTTTTTTCCCCCCTCTCCCCAGCCCTGGAAACCACTATCCTACTTTCTGTCTCTATGAATTTGACCGTTCCAGGTCATGCATGTAAGTAGAGTCATATTACAATTGTCCTTTCATGACTGATTTATTTCACTTAGAATAATGTCTTCAAGGTTCATCCATATTGTAACATGTGTCAGAATTTCCTTCCTTTTTAAGGCTGAATAATATTCTATTGTATATATAGACCACATTGTATTCATCCATTCATTCACTGATGGACTTTGATGGGTTGTCTCTACCTTTTGGTGACTGTGAATAATGCTATGAATCCGAGTGTACAAATATCCATTTGAGACCCTGCCTTCAATTCTTTTGGGTATATATCCAAGAAGTGGAAGTAATGGATCATATGGTAATTCTATGTTTGATTTCTTGAGGAACCACTATACCCTTTCCTCATTTCTTTTTTTCATAGAATAAAAGTTTCTTCCTGAAATCATATTATTATTTATTTACTTATTATCTCTCTCTTCTATCAGAATGTAAGCTCCATGAGGGTCCAGGGACCTGGTCTTATTCCTTTCTGTTTCCCCCAAGCCTAGGACAGTGTCTAGGTCATGGTAAGTGCTCAGTAAGTCCTTGTGGAAGCAAAGAAGGGAGGGAGGGAGGGAGGGAGGAAGGAAGGAAGATGAATTAACTTAAGAACGATATCCAAAACTACTCCAGAATCTCTCTATTCTCTTCTACATATCACTTAGTATGGCCACATCCATCAGAGCTACCTCAGGAATGGCTGCCTACCTGGTGTCACATGAGCGCAGGAACCTTGCTTTCAAAGTCAGCCTCAGGCTCTGTCATTCTACAATGACACATACCTACCTATGCCTCATGTCATGTTAGGTCTTCAACTCTTTAGCCCTCCATATTCAGAGGAGATTTCCTTGCGGGTAGCCTACAGGTAATGGCCAACCATGATCAAAATTCGTAAGCAATAAAACACGGGCTAGATTCCAGCACAGAGGAAGGGGGAAAAGATATACGGGGAGGCATTCAGGCACTTGGGGGAACACTGCTTACCTCTTCATTCTGGCACACAGTAGATGCTGTAGCTGATGAAAAGTTGTGCTACAGAATCTCTTCTGAAAACACTTTTCTCATATTTAACTGAATTTAACGTTTGAATTGTTATCGAAGTACTCGGTTTTATCTTGTTGAAAAGGAGTCGGTAAAGATCATAAACTATAAGTTACTCTCCTAGTAAATAGGAGGGCAGACTTCCTATATTAGGCCACATAATAGTCCATGCTGCTGTACTGGACTTTTGGCAGCTCTGAAGTGTCAACGATTTCAGAATGAATACAGAGCAAGAGAACCTTAAAATATGGACAGAACACCAGTTGGGAAAAATATTATTAAAATGCTGGATCTTCGTATGGGACCTTTGGAGCTTACTGGCTCTGCATCCTGGTAGCTCCCATGGCTCATTATTCTGTGGCCAAAACCCCAAGATGACAATGTTCAACTACTGTTGATAGTATCATATAATAGATGGGCAGATGGAGGCGGAGATGGTCGCAGTCTGGTAGCTGATTCAGAGCCTTTGGAAGCCTGGGATATGTGAGGAATGAGTCATACACAAAGGAGCACTAATTCACTAATTCATTCCTTCCTTCCTTCCTTCCTTCCTTCCTTTACTGAGTAGCTTCTATGCCTGTGGCTTTGCCCTCAGAGGATTCAATATCCAGCAGGACAGAAAGGCCACCTTCCTGTAATATGATGTGGCAAGTGCCTCACTGAAGTAAAAGCAGGGTACAGTGGGAGCCCTGAGGTATGATGGATACATTCTGTATAGAGACCGTGGAATGCAAAAGTATACAAATGTCATTTTCAAATGACATTTAGAAAAGTCACAGAAGAGATGACATTTGAGTTGGTTCTGAAAGGATGAGAACACACAAGATGCCACTGAAGGTGTTTGATGTTCAGGGTGACACCTGCTTTGTCATTTCCAGTGGAGCTAAAAGCTGGACCATGAACATCATTAAAGTGCTGAAAAGAACATGCTCCAGTAATTGGTTTTGTTGCTAGAAATACCTATTTCCTTGTTTAACTCTGACTAGTATACTATTATAACTCCTACCTTCCTGCTTCCAAAGAGGACTGGAGGTGGTCATTCATCTTCCATGGCTACCTTCTGAGTACTTATTTAAAATACTTTACATCCAGTTCAAGCAATTCCTACTCCTAACAAAACAACAATGCAGGAGATTGTGACAGTGCTGGTCATCTTCACTTGAATAAGGCATTAGAAGCCTCTGCTCTGCCTTATTTGATGGTGCATTCCATACTGCTGCGATCGCATGGTGGTGGTGGGTCTTCTTGCAGCATGAAGACATCCAAGGCCCACTAGGACTATCCTAGGGAATGCCTGCTATCTTCCTCTGCTCAGGCTGCCAGCACAAAATACCATGTAGACTGGGCAGCTTTAACAACAGGAGTCTACTTCTCACAGTTCGGAGACTGGCAAGTTCAAGCAAGGTGTGGGCCCATTCAGTTTCTGGTGAGAGCTCTATTCCAGGCTTATAGGTGGCCACTTTTTCTCATGGAGTGAGGGAGAGGCAGCAAGCTCTCTGCTGCCTCTTCTCATAAAGGCACTAATCCCATCCTTAGGGCCCCACCGTCACGATCTCATCTAAGCCTAATCACTTCCCCAAAGCCCCATCTCCACCTACCATCACACTGGGGGTTAGGACCTCAACATTCAGAGTCATGGAGATAGTCCGAGGAAGTATCATTTCTGCTTTCTCACATGATGGATTTGTGCTTCCAAAGGAATATCAAACTGTGTAAGTCAAACAGATAAGGGTGTACACTTTGTCAGGATTTAAAAAATTTTTTTTAGAGCTAGAAAGGGGCTCTGTGATGTGAGTACAGCTCCTCATTTGATACCTGGAGGATGGACGCAGGAAGTGGTGTAAGTGAACTCATACTTCTAAGACGAGTAGCTGGGCTATGTGGCCCAGAAAGAATCGTGTAGGGACAGAAGCAGACTGTGTCCTTGACTGGAAAAGAGTGGTAGAATGTACTGTAGCCGGTAAGCAAGTGGGGGGGCCCCATGGGAGGCCGGGCAGCTGAA